GCACCCAATAACCATACCTGTGGGCATGGATGATATTACAAATATATAACTACCAGGCACTATGAACACCATCTAGTCTTTTTGTTTTGTTTTAACTACCAAGAAATTTATTTTTCTTAACATCTCAGAAACCAACAATGCCCCTTCCCAATCCTCTTAACTCCCCCCAGTGGTTAGTGGCAACAATTATGCTAATTTTATGCTAATATACATATTTGGTTTTTTGCATTTTTTCAGTTATATTACCAACTTTGCACTTTTTGCTAAATTAAACTATGTTTTATTGTATAACTAACTCAGCCAGTTTATTGCTTTATCAATACAATATGAACATGTCTTCATAACTTTTTTTTAACTTTTTATTGTGATTTGGGTGAAATTTTACAAAGCAGATTCGTTTTACATTCAATAGTTCATATATGTTTTATTTTGTGACACTGCCGTGTAACAATTCTCCTCCCACTTCCTCTCTATGGTACCCTTTCCCTGTGTCCTTTTTGTCTATGCATTCCTGCCTCTCTACCTTTCTCCCTATGCAAATGCTTCCTTCTGATCTCCCTGGTGTAGGTGTTCAGCTCGTAGACCTGTCTATTGTTTAGCTGGAAGCCACGGGAGTAAGTTCAACTCCAGGCCCAAAGGGTGACTAGAGGCTATAGTCTCAAGGCTTTTACTAGTCTCTATCCAGACCAGAAAGCCTGGTCCTTTTTTTTTATGATTATAAGTTTTGTTCCACATTTTTCTCCCACTCTATCCAGGATCTCCTATTTTTGATCCTTTTCCGAATGATTGGTATTGGCACCTGGGTACCATTTGGTTCTTCTGGTCTCAGGGTCATATAGGCTGTGATTTTCATGGTCCATTAGTCCTTTGAACTAACTATTTCAATGCATCTTTGATTTTCTTCACTCTTCTTTGTTCCAGATGAGGAAAGATCAATAGTTGCCACTTACATGGCTACTTGCAAGCTTTTAAGACCCAGTCGCCACTTATTGAAGTAAGGTGTAGGACAATATTTTAGTCTACAATGTTATCCCAGTTGAGCTTGATGTCCAGTCATGGTTCCCAGCCCACAAGCCTAGTGACTCACTCCCTTAAGGCGCTTAGTTGTAGCTAAAAAGTTACCCTAACTTTGCCTACTGTTTGGTTTGAACTGCATATATACATTTCTACATATGTAGGAAAATCGTCTGCCAAACCTATGTATGGTCATGTGTATATTCCCATTTGCCTATCCATATCTGATCATCTTGCCTGCCTATGTATCCACCAGTAGATTACTGTTTGCTGTTACTGATAATGCAGTATTGTATATGCAATAGTATTTGTCTTTATTGTCTATACCTCTTGTGCATCTCTCTCTGTCTCCCTTTTCCTTAGTGATACTGTGATGGTCACATGTTTTTGTTATATTGCTTCTCTCCTCACCCATATCAAACCGTAACTATGCATCCATTTTCCCTCCCTTCCCCTCCT